TTGTGAGTCGCTGAGCTCCTCAGTGTCTCTTTGATACTAATGGGCATCCCGCCCTGGAAAGCTTCATCCTAGTCTTTCTGGGGCCATCCTACCTCAAGTGTTAGCGGAGAATAACTAGGAATGACTCTCGGGCCCTCAGCGAGAGGTGATCAGAATGGTGCGTGCTGGTTTTGTATGTATCCGTTCTAGATCTATGGGATATCAGTGAATGTGATTTATGAAGATATTGATAGAGGGGGAAATAATCACCAAGGAAAGACAGATGATAAGTGGCTTATATCAGATAAAAGAATTAAGGGTCTCAGTCTAAACTTACACTCGGCTAAGACAATGAGTCTTATGAGAAGAACTTGTAGTTACAGAAAAAATAAGGAGGTGTCGCAGAAATATTCAAGGACTTGCTCAGATCTGGTTTAATAAGCTGAGAGGGTGAGGAGCGACAGACTGCTGGCTGCGAAGTGTGTGGACACAGAATGTTGACCCCGTAGGCAGGGATTTGTGCCAGAGGACAGCCTGAGGAAGGCCCACTTTCAGCTGGGGTCTCGGGCCTCGGGCCTCATCCACTGGATCTTTCCTCCGGAGGGATGTTTGCATATGGGCCAAAAGGCAGGCCACGGGCCCTTGCCTGCCCGCGAGTAATCTTACCTCAGGTCTAGCACTTCCCTTGTCTGTCCTGATGGACGGAATTGAGATGCTGAAGGGCCAGCAGGTGGCCATAGGAGCGACAGAGGCTGGCTACGAGTGCCTTCTGGAACTGTGTCTGTGCCAACCCTGCGCCCACCAGAAGCTGTGACGAGGAGGAAATGAGTCGCGTTCTCAGTGCAGAGGACTTGTCTTATTTACTGCACAGGGTGCAAAGATCAGAAGCCCTGGTGAACCGCATCACCTGGAATTCTCATGGACTCCTTCCAAGGGTTGTGGTTGAAATTCTTTGTCTTGCTTTTGCTCTCCTTTCCTCCTTGCTATCCCTCGTTCATCTGTCAAGAATCGGTTCAAAGCTGCCTTTGAGGTCTTCCTTGCCGCGTGACCCCAGCTGCCTGTTCCCCCTGCCGTGGCTCCCCCGTGCACCTGCAGTTACACATTCATGCCTGTTTCCTTCAGCCCTGCGGGACAGGCCATGGCTCTGGCACGTTCACTCCCAGCTCCCAACAAGTCCTCCGTGTGCCCCCTGGATGGTAGGCAGACCGGGGACAGGACAGCATGTGCTAGGAGGGGAGGAGGCAGAGCCAGGGGCCCCAGGGAAGGATTGCTGGGGAAGTTGAGCTGACCTGGGTCCAGAAGGATTAGGAATGGGGACAGCATCGCGGGCTGCAGGTCAGGAAAGCACAGTCACACTCCTGTGGCCATGACCAGATTGTCTGTTTATCTGGAGAGCAGAACGTTTGTGTGGGAGTTCAGATTGAAGGCCAGGCCAGCCTGGAACCTGAGAGAGGAACCTGCAGACAGCGTTGGTTGGTCACGTGTTAGCAGGCTGTGCGTGAAAAGGCAACATTTCCTGCAAATTCGAGATCTCATCATTGATTCGCGATGATAAAGATTAAATGTTCCAGCCCCCTCGCCAATGGCTTCAATGGGGCTTTCTCTGATGACCATGCAGGGAGGGCGCTCAGGGTCATACTGTTCGGCTTGTGGCTACAAAGTGGGGAGCAGGCAGCTTTCCCCCTCACCACCAAGTGGGGATCTGTGAGGGTTCCCATGAGTGTTCTACCCTCTCGTGGGCCCAGTCCACAGAGAAGTGACTTACCCATCATGTGGTCTGGGTGACTCCAACTATTTTGTGGCCACATGTACTCAAGACAGGTGACTGTCGGGACCTGCCAGGCCACTGGGTCCAGGACTCTGAACTGTGGTCAACCATGTGAGTCCAGCAATGTAACCATTGCGCCATCTGCTGGTCTCCAGAAATTTGTTTTTTAAGTCACCCGTCATACCTGTCTCATATGGCTCTTTTTTTCTCCCTTGAAACCTTATCCCCTGGCAAATTATTAAAAAGCAAGTGCCACAGTCTCCTGGACTCGCTGTTCCTTCCTAGACTGCCGTTTTTACTGAGCAAAGTAGATAAAGCCTCCTGTTCTGTGTATTCCACTCCCTTGTGGGGCAGAGTGGAAGTTTCATCTAGTCCATTAGGGTTTTCTCCAAGGCTGATACCAAGCACAGCAGTTTGTAAATGTTCTCCCACAGGGGGAGGGAGGGAGAGCTTTCATTGTGAAGTGAAAAACAAATCATATAAATCAAATAAGGATCTTAGCTCTTGAGAAAGACAGAAATCGGCACGATTAGATTGTTTCGTTTCTGTTCTTATTTTTTCCATAAACAAGAGAGACAGAGAGAAACAGTGCACTCAACAGTGTTGATGCCGTGATCCACCCTCAGCTTCATCCAGACCCAGGCAGTTGACACTCACTTTCCAGGCAGGGACCTGGAACCCTCCCATACAGGTCAGCCCCACAGACTGCCTGGTGTTACCACTGCACTGCTGCCTGGCCCCCAAGGTTCGATTTTTATTATAAGACTCCGACACCCAACTGGGTTTATTGGCTTGCATTTCTCATGAAAACGGGATGGAGTGGCGCCTTTCTTTGTGCTGTCCCCGGCTCTACAAGCTTTCTGAACCTTCCTACTCAAAGTGTGGTCTGTGATTGTGCAGCACCAGCCTTCCCTGGGAGCTTGTTACAAGTCCAAACTCTTGAGCCAGTTTGTAGTGCAGTGGTAAAGCGCTGTGCACTGCGAGCCAGATCCTATATGACTGACAGCAGTTCAGATCCCAGCCCAGAGGCTTGAAAAACACCAGGCACATGTGCGTGCATGCCCAAAATCTTGATGGAAGGAAAGATAGAGGAAAAGGGATTGCAGCATAGCCCATTGGGGGCCCAATGATGGATACTTTCTCTGTCTCTTTCTGGTGAATGCACATACCCTCCAATAATTTTTTTTTAATGTTAAGAAAAATAAAAGAAGTACGAACTCTTATCCACCCCACATTGAGGCAGAATCCTTGTTGTAACAAGATCTCTGGGAGATTCACAGTGTGCATAGGAGAATCCCATTTTCAGCTCAGAGCTTATAGAGGAGCATGTATCAGAATCCCTGGAGGACACCGGTTCCTGGGACCCACCCTCAGAGGTTCCGTGTGGTAGGTTGGAGTGAGGGCCCAGCCACGTGGGTACTACTACAGTCAGCTGCCTTCATTGGTCCTCTCTAGCTTTCTGCTGGACTGGCAGCTCAAGCCCCAGTCCCCACAGCACATGGTGAGCAGAGAATGTCAGAGCAACCCCAGGTGCATCTCTGGGTAAAAGTGTAGGGCACCAGGCCAGTCACTGGCTCTGCCTCTGAGTGGTCCTGTGCACAGCAGGGCTGGACTCAGTCGCTCTCCTGGCTGCTGCCCTGCAGGCCCAGACGGGGCTTTCTCCCAGCAGACCCCATTGCAGCCAGGGGGCTCTAGTCTAGTGTTGAAATATTTCATGAGAGAGACCTGAGGCACTTTCTTCTGTATTTATGCAAAGTTGGGGGCACTGTCCCCCTCTCTGCCCACAGTCTAGCCTCTTACCCTAGAGGGGCTCTGGAAAAGGCCCCAATAGAGTCTGTCATGCCCTTTCTGGAGAATGCTAAATTAATGTTGAGTCTTTCTAAACCAGACTTGGCCAGGTGATATCAAGGTGTATGCGCCGTCCTTTAGACAGACCTTCTCCAGAGATCTCAATATGGCTTTCTAAAATTTCTCTAGCTATGAATAAAGAGGAAAAAAAAAGTTCTATCACCCATCAGGGATGTCACCATCTAATTAATATTCTTTAGGTTTTACTAAAATTTTTTAAGTTCTCATTACGGTCTTAGTCTTGGTCCTGAGTTTTCAGCTTATAAGATTTTGCTCGGGACCATCAGTTGGCATAATGGCCATGTTGCTGGACTCCCATGTAGTTGACCACAGTTCGAGTCCCGGACTTGGTGGCTTAAATTCATGCTGGGCACGTGTGCGTGCGTGCCCAAGATCCTGAGAGGAGAATGGAGGAGAAGGGATTGCGGCGTGGCCATCCCCCCGGGGGGTGATTTCTCACTTTCTGTCTCTCTGTCTCTCTCTTTCTGGCAAGCACAAGCAGCCTATACCAAAAACCTCTCCAAAAAAAGAAAAAAAAGGAAATGTCAGGTGAAAACAATTACAAATGCTAAAGGTGAAAAATTATTACATTTGTTTTTCCAGGAAATTCACAAATGTGTATGAAAATTAGAGTGAAACAGGGAAAACATATGCCCTATTGAATAACAAATGCATGATGTTCAAGTATTTTTCCTGCATGTTCACTTATTGACAGATATAATTTTAGAATTTATACATCTGGATAGATATATATAAAATAAGTGGTCATATTAATAAGGGAAATACTTTTAGAATTTTATATGTGTGTGTGTGTGTGTGTGTGTGTGTGTGTATACATACACACACTTGTAGGAGGCAGGGAAATGGAATTCTCTGGCTTATATATGTATTTTTTTATATACAGTTAGTAGTAATAATTTTAGAATTCTAGATGTGATTTGGACAAAGAATTAAGTAACTTTGTTTTGATTGTTTAAGATAAGGGTTAATTGTGAGCACCCAAATGCATACAAGCTTAAGAAATACAGAGTGAAGCCTGGCATTTAGTTCTTAGTTCAGACCTTGAGATTTTGGTCATGAATGAATGAATTTGGGTAGAAATGTATGACAGTGTGCCAGATACAACAGGATTTTCCTAGACTGACTTTTTAATTCCTTTTTATACTTTTAGAGTTATTGCAGCAGATATTTATTATTATTCTCTTCTGCTTCTTGGCCTGAGAGTTTGCATAATGAAAACAGCCAGTGTGTGTCATGAATCATTTGCATATAAATCTTGACAAACCTAACCCAAGGCTACAAAAATTGGATGCATGCAGAAGATGGGTTGGATTTACAATATCAACACCATTTATAGAATAATTCACTGCTTGTTTGTTTTTCTTTCTTTCTTTTTTTTCCCCAGAATCGAATGGAGGAAAGCAAAGCACTCTTTAGAACAATTATCACATATCCCTGGTTCCAGAACTCCTCTGTTATTCTGTTCTTAAATAAGAAGGATCTTCTAGAGGAGAAAATCATGTATTCCCATCTAGTTGACTACTTCCCAGAATATGATGGTAAGTCATTACTCAGACTGCCAGTACCTGGGCAGGAAGGTCGTGCTTCCCAGCACCAACGTGAGAATTACTGCACTTGACCTGGTGCACGGTACAGGTGCACCATTGCCGCCTTGCCCTGCAAGGCCTATGTGCTGTGACTCATGCAGCATTGCTTATTATTTGCCCACTTTTAATGACCCAAAACATTCCATCTCTTAATAATACTTAAAGTTGTAGAAAAAGAAATCACTTCTCCATGGGTTTTACAATAACCAGCTCAGAGGAAGGAACATTTCAGTTGCTTGACAAATTGTGTATTAGCTATTATATTAGGTTGTCAGGAAAGTTATGACGTATTTTTCTATGCAACAATGCGTGATGACTTTCCTGATGACCCACTAGTTCCACCCCCTCCCCACACCATTTCACTTGGTTACAGTCTGCCTCCCTCTGTCTGGAACGAAAGAGCTTTGTGTTCAAGAGTCTACCTCTGGGATCAGCAGTTAGCGTAATGGCTGTGTCGCTGGACTCCCACGTAGTTGACCACGGTTCGAGTCCTGGACCTGGTGGCTTAAAACTCATGCCGGGCGCATATGCGTGCGTGCCCAAGATCCCGAGAGGAGAATAGAGGAGAAGGGATTGCGGTGTGGCCATCTTCCCTGGGGGGGTGATTTCTCACTTTCTGTCTGTCTGTCTGTCTTTCTGGCATGCACACGCACCCTATAGCTGGAAAAAAAAAAAAAATCTCTCCAAAAAAAGAAAGAAAAAAAGAGTAAAGAGCCTACCTCTGATGTCAGTCCATCCAGGTTCAAATCCAAGTTCTGACACTTTGATTTTTCTGGGCCTTACCACCAAGCTCATGGGCTTGTTTTGCAGGCTGTAATAAATGACACGTGTGTGACATTTAGCCTACTACCTGACACAGAGTGAGTATTCGGAAATCACACCTGCTTTTCAGAAACTTGATGGCCCACTGAAAGCCTGCCATCCTTAATGGCAGTATACATCCCTTAGGCCTCTTGTGCAGCATGTGGGTTCTACACCTACTGCAGTCCTCATGTGAACAATTCTTGCCCTTCCCAACTAGACTGTGCAGGCCTGAGCTATGAGACACACCGCTCCTTCTGAGAAGTGCCACTGATTGCCTGGTAACAGAGCATCCACATGCAGCCACTCTAAACAAATGAAGTCATTGACTTGCCTGGAAGAGCTTGTGTGGCAAGATGAACACATATCTTCCCCACCAAATCCAAACTTGAGTCTAGATTAGGAGGGAATGCTATGGCCTGCCATCTGGTTTTTAGGTTTTTTGTTTGGTTTAGGGGTTGTTTTTTATTTGTTTATTTGTTTGTTTTGTTTTTTTGCCTTTTTTAAGTTTTTGCTATAGAGCAATACACTTGCCAGAGAGAGACAGAGGAAAAGTGAGAAATCACTCCCCGGAGGGATGCCATGCCAATCCCTTCTTCATTCTTTTCTCAAGATTTTGGTCATGTATGTACGTGTGCCTCACGTGATTTTTAAGTTGCTAGTTCCAGAACACAAGCCATGGTTAGCCATGTGGGAATTCGGTGCCTTCACCACCACACCACCTGCTGGCTCCCTCTACCTGTTTTTATAAATAAAGGTTTAAGACAGCTAGGCCAACAGGTGGCATGGCGGTTAAGGCTCTGTATCCCATGTGACTGACTGCGCAGTTAAGAGTCCCAGAGCTGGTGGCTCGGAAAAGCTGTCAGTTATCTGTGTATGTATGCCCCAAGTCCCTAGAGGAGATGGGAGGAAAGGAACTGCAGTGTGGCCCTCCTCCCTGGGCAGTGGTTTCTCACTTTCCCTCCTCTCTATCTCTCTGGCGAGAGCACATACTCTATAGCAGAAACTTTAAAAGAAAAAAAAAAAAAAAAAAAACACAGCGAACGTAGTTGACCACGGTTCGAGTCCTGGACCTGGTGGCTTAAAACTCATGCCGGGCGCATATGCGTGCGTGCCCAAGATCCCGAGAGGAGAATAGAGGAGAAGGGATTGCGGTGTGGCCATCTTCCCTGGGGGGGTGATTTCTCACTTTCTGTCTGTCTGTCTGTCTTTCTGGCATGCACCCGCACCCTATAACTGGAAAAAAAAAAAAAAATCTCTCCAAAAAAAGAAAGAAAAAAAGAGTAAAGAGCCTACCTCTGATGTCAGTCCATCCAGGTTCAAATCCAAGTTCTGACACTTTGATTTTTCTGGGCCTTACCACCAAGCTCATGGGCTTGTTTTGCAGGCTGTAATAAATGACACGTGTGTGACATTTAGCCTACTACCTGACACAGAGTGAGTATTCGGAAATCACACCTGCTTTTCAGAAACTTGATGGCCCACTGAAAGCCTGCCATCCTTAATGGCAGTATACATCCCTTAGGCCTCTTGTGCAGCATGTGGGTTCTACACCTACTGCAGTCCTCATGTGAACAATTCTTGCCCTTCCCAACTAGACTGTGCAGGCCTGAGCTATGAGACACACCGCTCCTTCTGAGAAGTGCCACTGATTGCCTGGTAACAGAGCATCCACATGCAGCCACTCTAAACAAATGAAGTCATTGACTTGCCTGGAAGAGCTTGTGTGGCAAGATGAACACATATCTTCCCCACCAAATCCAAACTTGAGTCTAGATTAGGAGGGAATGCTATGGCCTGCCATCTGGTTTTTAGGTTTTTTGTTTGGTTTAGGGGTTGTTTTTTATTTGTTTATTTGTTTGTTTTGTTTTTTTGCCTTTTTTAAGTTTTTGCTATAGAGCAATACACTTGCCAGAGAGAGACAGAGGAAAAGTGAGAAATCACTCCCCGGAGGGATGCCATGCCAATCCCTTCTTCATTCTTTTCTCAAGATTTTGGTCATGTATGTACGTGTGCCTCACGTGATTTTTAAGTTGCTAGTTCCAGAACACAAGCCATGGTTAGCCATGTGGGAATTCGGTGCCTTCACCACCACACCACCTGCTGGCTCCCTCTACCTGTTTTTATAAATAAAGGTTTAAGACAGCTAGGCCAACAGGTGGCATGGCGGTTAAGGCTCTGTATCCCATGTGACTGACTGCGCAGTTAAGAGTCCCAGAGCTGGTGGCTCGGAAAAGCTGTCAGTTATCTGTGTATGTATGCCCCAAGTCCCTAGAGGAGATGGGAGGAAAGGAACTGCAGTGTGGCCCTCCTCCCTGGGCAGTGGTTTCTCACTTTCCCTCCTCTCTATCTCTCTGGCGAGAGCACATACTCTATAGCAGAAACTTTAAAAGAAAAAAAAAAAAAAAAAGACACAGCGACACCCGTTTATTTACACACTTTGCATGGCTGTTTCCATGCTACAGCAGTAGAATTGGGTAGTTGGGATAGAGAGGGAATGGTCTACAAAGCCTAAAATATTTGTTCTCTGACCCTTCACTGAGAATATCTCTGGCCCTTTACAGAACAGGTTTGCCGAGCCCTGGTCGAGATAGCAGAGGTGAGCACGAGCCTTGAATGTCTCAGAGTTCCATGCACTGACCGTGTTGCCCTCATTTATTTAACTAGAACTGAGTGCAGTCATACGTAACTCACTTAGCACAGAGGAGAGCACAGAAGGAGCAGAACCTATTGTAGAGGCGTGTGTAACAGTGAGAGAACTGGAACCAGCAGATGGCATAATGGTTACATCATTGGACTTCCACATAGTCGACCACTGTTCGAGTCCCAGACTCAGTGGTTTAAAACTCAGGCCAGGTGTATGTGCATGCGTACCCAAAATCCCGAGAGGAGAATGAAGAAGGGATTACAGCGTGACCATCCCCCCAGTGGAGTGATTTCTCGCTTTCCGTCTCTCTTTGTGTCTTCAGTGAGCATGTGTACCCTCTAGCAAAAATATCTCTTAAAAAAAAATGGGACCAGCAGATGGCATAATGGTTACATCGCTAGACTCCCACATAATTGACCGTGGTTCAAATCCCAGACCTGGCGGCTTAAAACTTACACCAGGCGCATGTGCAGGCATGCCCGAGATCCCCAGAGGAGAATGGAGAAGGAAAGATTGCAGCGTGGCTTTCCCCCAGCAGTGATTTCTCGCTTTCTGTCTGTCTCTCACTCTGGCGAGCACATGCACCCTATAATGAAAATCTCCTTCTTTAAAAATAAAAAAATTTAAAAAATTAATGAGAGAATAGCAGATCATTTGAAAAAAATGGCAGGGTGGGTTGCAGTTCACCAATGTTCTTTATACTGATTAGGCCCCCTGAGAAGTAAGACAGCCATTTTAAAATGAGTACTAGAGGCAACAGGTGGCGTGGTTAAGGCACTGGACTCCCATGTGACCAGCCACAGTTTGAGACCTGGATGTGGAGGCTTGCTTTCTCAGTTTCCCTTTTTTTCTCTCTCTGGTCAAATTTTTAAAATAATAACAAATAAGATTAAATAAATGATTATTTTTTAATTACTCTAATTTTGTTTGAACAACTTTCTGAGACTATACAAACACATCAGAGTTGGAGGTTTATCTTTTTTTCTTTTTTTAGAGAGGTTTTCGCTATAGGGTGCATCCACTCGCCAGACAGAGAGAGACAGAGAGATAGAAAGCTAGAAATCACCCCCCAAGGGGGATGGCCACGCCGCAGTCCCTTCTCCTCCATTCTCTCGGGATCTTGGGCATGCATGCACACACGCCCGGCATGAGTTTAAGCTGCCAGATCCAGGACTTGAACCGCAGTCGACTACATGGGAGTCCAGCAACATAGCCATTACGCTAACTGCTGGTCCCAAGGTTTATCATTTTTTCATCCACATGTATTTGGTTTCATGATAGAAAATGTTACATATTTAATGAGCAATAGTTCCTTGTCAAATAACAACAAGACTTCAAAGAGTTTTATGGGAAAATTTAATTAAAGAATGATTTTATTGGGACCAGTAGATGGCGTAATGGTAACATCGCTGGACTCCCACATAGTCAACTGTGGTTCAGGTCCTGGACCTGGAGGCTTGAAACTCTACCAGGTGTGTGCGTGTGCATGCCCAAAATCCTGAGAGGAGAATGGAGGAGAAAGGATTGTGGTGTGGCCATCCCTCCTCATTTTCTATTTCTCTGTCTCTGTCTGTCCTAAAGCAAAAAGAACTCTTTAAAAAAAAAATAAATAGGAACAAGTTTGTTTTGGTGCAGAAACTTTTGAAATCCATGTGTAGTTTTTTTTTTTCCATAATGTACATTTTCTATAAACTTTTTAAAAAGTTCTCAGAGTGTTTGTGTGCTTGTCAAAGAGATAAAGAAATAGAGAAACCAGCAGTTAGCGTAATGGCTATGTCGCTGGATTCCCACATAGTCAACTGCGGTTCACATCCTGGACCCGGTGGCTTAGAACTCACGCCGGGCACGTGTGCGTGCGTGCCCAAGATCCCAAGAGGAGAATGGAGGAGAAGGGATTGCGGCATGACCATCCCCCCTGGGGGGTGATTTCTCACTTTCTGTCTCTCTGTCTCTCTCTGTCTGTCTGGCGAGCACACGTACCCTATAGCGAAAACCTCAAAAAAAAAAAAGAAATAAAAGAAATAGAAAGGGAGAGAGACATACCCCTAGTGGGACATGGTCACACCACAATCCCTTTTCCGTTTCTTCTCTCTGTTGGGATTTGGGGCATGTATGCGCCTGTACCTGGTGTGTTTTTCAAGCCACCAAGGCTGGGATTCAAACTCCTGAACAGCCATGTGAAAGCTGACTGCCTTAAGTACTAGGCTATAGGACCAACCCATCTATGAATCCTGAGAGGAGAATGGAGAAGGATTGTGGTGTGGCCATGTGGGAATCTAGCACCTTAACCACCACACCACCTGCTCCCTCTTTTAAAGACATCCTTCCCTCCCCCCATATATATAAGATTCCAAAGGTTGATGAATTGAAAATATAAGTGTTTTGGAGTATTATCAGTTATTATAGGCAGTACCCTCATTTGTTACCTATGTTTACATCCTCTCTCCAAGTACAATATCCTTTGTTCTTTTAAAAACAAATGCTTTTGGGGGACAGCAGGTGGCATAGTGGTTAAGGCACTAGACTCCCACATGGCCTACCGTGGTTTGAGTCCTGGACCTGGCGGCTCACATTCTCTCTCTGATTCTCTTTTCCTTAACTCTCT